AGATGATGTTACAGTAGGGTTGGTAGGGTTGTATTTCCCAAAACAAGACGCTGTTTGAGAGCTGACGTACTGCTGCGATTCTTGTTGAAATTGTGAACCGGATCAAAACCCGTCTCCTGCTGCTCGTCCGTCTGGAGTGGGTGTCGGGTCTCAAAGTTGGGGTGCTGCATGACCGCGGCCCAGTTGGACCTGTAGGTGGTAAGGCAGAGAGAGCACACACACACGCACAGAACGAAGGCCGTGAGGTTTACAGCTTGTTAAAAGTAACGGATAAATAAATGACTTTCAGAACAACAAACAAGCCTACAGGTGTTTGTTTATATCATCCAAGTTCTGATGAAACAGCCTCCAAACACATTGAAATCYTCTGATAAGAGCACTAATTCAAACATCTGCCTTTGCACTTGTTTTGTCTTCAGTTACTTAACTAATCTATTAAATTGTTCAAGCAAAACCTGACAAACTTTTCACTGCAACTAGCAAATTCAAAGCACCCGTGACTTATTTGAGCTTACTTTCACAGCTTCGGGATTCTCCTCGGTCACAGCTCAGAAGAACGAGACGYTTCTGTGGAAAGAAGAGGACAAAACAAAAAGCTACAATGCGTTTTTCTTCTACAATGATAAGAACTTTGCAAAACACCAACAGTGACTACAGTCAATGAAGAATGGCTGAAATTACAAAGGAGCCCTTGAGCGGCCTGATGGTCCACCACGCTTACTGTGATATATTCAACATGAACAGCAAAGCTAATGAAGTCATTAAAAAAGCAAATTAATGCATCAATTAAGTGCTTTAATATCAGACCTTCCTCTGCATCAAACACCAGCTGCAGTAATTCTAAGATGATTAAGAACACACAGCTTCTGGACAATTTTACTACTCTTCAAAAAGGCGTAGCTATCGCTGTGTTATGTAGGCGCAACATGGATTTTATTAACTTAACAGGATAGAAACTTCACGAYGATTTAATAAATATGTAGCCAAAGTGTGAAAGACTTGGATGGGCGTGGTGTCAACCTAAAGAAAACAGCTGAGTCATTAAGGAAGAGAGTTATTCCAAGACTTTTGTTTGGCTTTTTAAAAYAGTGATTCCAGATATTGGAACAGGTACTGGGATTGAATCGAAACTCCAAAACGCAGATCTGCGCATCTCTAAAGTAAACTACGAACCAAATCCTCTTCGGCAAAATGTGAGAAGAGTTTAACTTTCTCTGCAAAGCGTCACAATCTAGGTTAAGCTGGTGCATCTTCCGTTCTTTAAGCAACTTCCCCGTTTATGGAAATGGTTTRCCTAATACCCAGTACTACAGGATAGTGGGCATCCACAGAGCTTTGTGTTTTCTTTCACATTATTAATAGTGGAAATAACAAAACAAAGGCATTTCTTAAACCTATTAACTATGTGGATGAAACCCTGCTTGATAATTTGGCTGCATGAAAATAGAAACGATTTCACATGAATAATGCATGCCCCTGTTTTGTTAGGAAACATCTGCTCTACCCAAAGACTAATGCGCTCCTTAAGTCAGTGGGATTTTTCCCTCGTTTCTCCCTAAAATATTACATTATCCCAGTATATAACCAAAACTAATCCACACAAGTTGAAAACAGAGGAATGCTGTAAATAGATATTTACATTTTTTTGTATTTTTTCTTTAAACAAACAATCAATGTGAAAGTTTTGAAGTCTCACGAGTGTCGACACACAGACAGCAGTGATTTGGCAAAGAATATTACCGGTAGTGTGTTTTATAAACTATGTGACAAAGATATTTTGAGCATCATTTTCCCCACAGGCCTCCAGACACAAAYAATGTTTTGTTCCTTCTTTCCAAAAATAAAAGCTTTCTAAACTTCCTACAGAGGCCTGTAGAAATCTCTCACTGCCGCTGCTTGTGTGAAGAAAGTCTTGTTTTAATTTCTTCTCACCAGAGTTCCAATAAAATATAAAAAAAGGCACCAACTTCACTGCCTTTCACCACATAAGCTGTTGTATTATTTAATCCAYGACACCTGGAGAGACTTCAATAATTTAACGCGATTATCTTGTTTGGAATAATGAAACCACTGCATAATGACATGCATAAATAAATCAGCAAATACAAGAGAGAGTCCACCCATCTGCTTTCAGGTAGGTCTGTTACTGGGATCTAGACAAAAAGCTCAGAGGCTGATTCCAAACTATTGCCATTACACTCATCAGGTGCTGTTTTAACTCTCCTGCTACACTTGGGTCAAAACGAACTACAATGCATCAGTTTTAACTAGGGCTGTGTATTGGCAAGAATTTGGCGATATGATACATATCATAACAGAGGGGTCACGATACGATATATCCCGACATATTGCGATACTGTAAGCAAGGCAATATAT